ATTTAATTTCCTTTCTGTAAATTAAAACTAATGAAGTGTGGCCATGTCAAAGCAGCCGGAGATGTTGTGGGCGCACTGCTTGGCCTCAGTAGTTGAGCTTTTTAAGGGTACTCTTGCTCGTCAGGACATCGAGTTGTCTTGAGGGAGACAAAATAGACATGAAGCAGATGCTGTGTTTTCCATAAACCTGGTTTTGCCTCACACAAACCAAAGACTTGGAATTTCTGCCGTATGCAGAGAATGAAGGCGCAAGGTAGAGCTGGGGAAGTCTGCCAGAGGCTACCCACACTCTACAACTGGGGGATTTCTGTGCCCAGCAATCTGGCATCTCAAGGAGCTTTAAAGTCTTCATGGAAACTTTGTGTTTCCTCATAACTTTTCATCTGTAGCCACTAAACTGTAGATCATTAGATTGTCCCCCAGTTTCATTGAGTGTCTCCCAGGTTTTGTTAAAAGGCGAGGTATCCCCCCTTCTGGACTGGTGAGGAAATGCTCCAGAACAGGACACAGCGGGAAGGGGCTTTCATATGGCCCCCTGGAGCAAGGTGAGCATCCTGCAGGGACGTAGAGGAAGGAGGAAGGATTTGGGTCTGGTGGATCATGCCATAGAACGTCGGCATGACCTGACACGGGGGCAAATAGCCTGCCTATCCAGCCTCGGTGAGGGGTGGATGTACAGGTCTGTGAAAGCCAAGGGACTGCAGCCTCTGGTGGCCCCTGACCCCCAAATATACTGTGTGATGGCCTCTCACTCTAGTGTCTGGGAGCGGCCAGCCTCACAGAGTGCAAAGGGGATTCCAGAGGGGGCCAAGAGGAGGCCAGGGGGCTTCCCTTCTCTCCATCTGCTGGCTCTCACAGACAGGGATGGCAGAATCCTTATTTCCAGGTCATTACTATGCATCTTTAAAATAAAAGGAAATGTAAACCTTTGCTTTTTTTTAAGCTTTTCAAAGAATCATCTGTGAAAAGAATCACTGTAAACCAATGCCTATAAAAAGCGAGTCTACCAAAATAAACTTTATGTACTTTCTCTATGTTTTGAGTTTGTTCGTATTTCTACTACACATTTAATTTTTTAAAATAGGCACTTGTTTTAGTTACAGTCTTTTATGTTTATATTTAAAGACTTTTTTACAAAATAAATTAAATGTTTTACGTAATAAGGAATATGGATGTATTTCTAAATATTAAGAAGCTTGATGTGTTTTTGTTTTTATGTATTTTTGACAAAAGAGCAATCTTGTTATTCCAAAGAAAAAAATTAGCAAAGGTTAAAAGAAAAAAAAAACAACAACAACAAAGCTTTAGTGGCGATGAGAAAGAAATCTAACAACTTCTAGATTCTGTTCTTTTAGGGCTTTTCTTTTGTGAAAACTGTTTAATTTTTGTCAAAAGCTTTCCCCCCAAGATTTTAATCTTACATAGCATATACACCTAAGCTCAGGAACACATTGACCCATGCATTTTAAATAACCAACAGACTATGATTCACCAAAATTTTAAGCTACTGTAATTTAATGGCATTTATTTGAAAATGTTTTTTGGCTTCCATCTTATCAGAAGTAGCCCCCACAGTCTACTCCAATGTACAGTTCCAATAAATTACAACCTGGGTGAATCTTATGTATGGACCGTTGGAAATCCCGCCTTAGGTGGGAGAGAGGGGGGCATGGCCGACAGGACTTTTAAAGGGATGAAAGGGTGGGGGCGGGGGCAATAGGGGCTCTTACAGATTTCCTCAGGGCCCTTCACACCCGCTCACGTCCCTGCAGAGGTATGAATGGAATGGCTTTTCTAGAAAAGGGCTTCCAAGAATATAAAGGAATTCCTTTCCCTGGGAGGCCCCTTGGAGGGCCAAGCCAGTCCTGAATTGGGCTTATGTCTCAGATCCATTTGATCTGGTATTTTTGTCAACATGGTACATGTTAGGGCCCAGTACGATTTTTCTTCTTTTTTTTTTTTTGTCAAAGGGAGGCATATTTATTAAAATGCTTCCTCTTCCCCTGCTAGAGCCTCACAGAAGTCGGGGAACCTCGCTGGCTTCAGTGTGCAGACTCTTGAAGATGGAGGGAACAATATTAGGTTGCCGTGGTAACTGCTTGCCAACTTTGCATTGAGCCCCGGGGCCGTCTTGAAAGGGGCTTTGAGAGGAATCCTCCTTCCCATTCTAGGCTGTGAAAATTCTGATATTTGTTCAGATGAGGAATTTTCCACGAGCACACATTTTATCTTTAAGTACACACTCTTGGTTAAGTCTATTGACACTGTCATTTGTAAATCTATAACAGAGCCATTTTCCTCAGCGGTAACCTTTGCTATTAACCTGCTCCAGAAAGCTTCCTGATTTGTATGTACTAAATAGAGCCCCAAAGGCTAATAACCAGGTAGATGTTAAAACATTTTGTGGTACTTTATTGAAAAATGTTGGTGATGTCTCCCATTAATCAAACCTACACCTTGCAAGAATCATGGTTTAATTATGAGACTTGCGACCATAAAAAAGAATACCCTTGGTTTCTTTTATGTGTGTACACACTCCATCAGAGCAGCTAGTGAGGTGTAGCTCAGTGCAGGAGAGAGGTGTGTGTACCCATCTGTGATCCAGTCGCCTTGTGCATGACACATGTTCCTAAGTTTGCAAAATTTAACCTGCATACTATAAAGCCAACTGATACCGTGGAGAGATTACATAGGGTCCTTGCTGACGTAGGATTGGCAAAAGATCAGTTCACGTTGTGAGAACACTTCATGCATTCTCACTTTGATTCTAGAAGGATGAGTTAAAAGCATGAAAACCTCTTTCTATTCAGAAAGGTGGAAGAATTTCCTAAATAAGCTTTGAAAAAGCAGCAAAGGGATACAGTTGTTTCTAGTGCAGAGCAAATTGAAAGGTGGTAGCACAATGCATCTATTCCCTCAGATCCAATGGTGATATCTTTAAGAAAAAAAAAATCATAAGAGTGAAACCAAAAGTATTGGAAGTTTATTTTGAAAACACTGCTGGTGCATTATAAAAGGGTCTCTGTTCACCTGTTACACACATGACACATTCATATGAAGCACTCTTGCTATGTATAAAATGCAGAAAATGCTTAAAATGTGTCCATCATTTTCATTACATCCTTGAAGCAAGTTTGTCTTCTACAAGGTGCAGTCCATGACAGTTTTCCATATTGCACATGCAATTTAACTAACTTCATTAGCACTACTTGTAGCAAACACGAGCCTAGTGAATTATAGATCTGTGTGGGACAGGGACTTTGCTGTGGAATTAAGCTTGACAAGGTCATTCTCATAAAATATCTGGCTATATATTCTTTTTTGCATTTAATGCCTATTCAATATATTCTGAAGGTGCTATTCCTGGTGTTACCAAGAGTCCATAAGGAAAGGGAAGAGGGAGTAAGAGCTTGACCGTGTACTTGGGAAGCACACCCATGGCCACACACCCCCTTGGTCTTGGCTTGTTTTGTATTGAAGAAAGGACTAAAAAAAAAAAAATTTTTTTTTTAAATCATGAATGACTTTTAAAGACAGTGGAGTTGTTGTCTATTCATGGGACTTACAATGATCACATTCTTCCTGTACCTAAGAATCAAAAAGGGCTCGGAAATCGGTAGGCTTCCTCTTCCTGCATGCTAGCTGCCAGGGCGAGGTCGCCCTCCTTAAAGTGTATTTATGGAGTTGCG